ATTAAATGAAAAATCAATGGGTATATTGAATGTTACAAGGTTCATTTGATAGCTAAGGGTATAATTAAAATAAAGGTATTTGCTTTCATGAGATCTTCAATCCAGTTATTAAAGCAGCTATAATTCAGATAGTTTTAGTCATTGCTACTTTCTAATGCTAGTCTATTTTTTAATTGGATATTCATAGTGTATTTTTTAATGGTTTTCTTGATATTGATATTTAAATACAACATCCAAGTTTGTTTTATCCTTATCTCTTTTTTTCCCTTTAAATATGCAAATTTTATAGGTCTTTTATAATAGACTTAAACTAACACCATATGCATCGTTCAATCAGCATAACCAATTTTTTTTGTGTCTCGACTTTTTTAGTTATCAAATAAACACTTTATTTTTATATATAGATCCATAATCATTTGCATTTATATTTTGGTATGTATTGAAGTTATCCTTATCACATGTAATGATATTTATTTTATGACTTATCTAATTACTTGTCTTAACATATAATTCTATATTCAAGACTTGGGTCATTTGAGTTTTTTTTTGGGTATTAAGGTGTAATATACTTTTTATGAGCTATTTTTCTTCTAATATCACTATGCATTTGACATTATTCATGAGACTAACATGTCCCAATGTTAGTCAATGTTCATATTGCACTAGCAAAATTTTTATATTTACCAATAAAATTCTTTATTGATATGTATACTCTTATTCTATTACCATTAAATTTATTGATAAGCTCATAGACAAAAATACTCCATTAGTAATTTTTGTTTTATTGGTGAGTTCATTAACAGTAAAATTATTAATGGATTTACTAACAGCAAAAACATGCCAAAAAATTTACCTACTTCATTCTATCATTTTTTCCCTAAGAATTTCTTCATGTAACCGACAAAAATACTATATACAATTCCATCAATTATTAAACAATGACATTAACAACAATTCTTTTCCAACTCTCTAGAAATATATCGATAAACTTAATTCATTAATAATACTATTAGTAATTATTTAAAAATATTTTTTTAAAAATCTATTTAATAGAAGTATAAAATAATTAAATTAATATAAATCAACACTCAATAGTAATACTCAATAGTAATGCTAAAAACAAATTAACAACAACAAATAAATAAATTAATTAAAACACTTTTCCACCTAACTTAGAAAACCTATTCCAAAACTCATAAGCCAGCAACAAATAAATTAATTTAATTGAAATTAAAAAATAAAATTGAAAAAAATACAACTAAAATCCAACAAAATTGATCTCACATAAAGAAGAAATCCTACAACAACATTTATATAGTTATTAAGAACATAAAAATTTATGAATAAAATAAAAAATATATAATGAAAAAAACACAAGAAAAAAAAATCTTAACTTAATTTAATTACTAGTGAAGTTGAGAAGAGCAAAGAAAAAAAATTCATTAAGTATGTTAATTAAAAAAAAAGAGAAAAAAAGAAGAGAGGAGAAAAGATACCTACACTTAGGGGAGAATAAAAGATGAGAGAAGGAGTTAAGGAGAGAAGACAAAGAAAGTAAAGGACGTTGTTGTTTTCTACAAAAGAAGAGGTGTGTCTATTTTAAAATGAGGAATTCTAGTATTTTAATTTGGGCATTTTACCTATGAATAATTAAATATTAATATTTTTAATTATTTTATTATTAATTCTGTCTATAATATTTAATTTAAAATTTATTAATTTTGTCTATAATATTTAATTTAAAATTTTAATTTAATCAAAGATTTTCAAAAAGCCCCCAAATATCACCAATAACTTTTTACTCCGTTGATGATTCCATTAGTAATATTTAATTTAAAATTTTAATTTAATTAAAAAATTTTAAAAACTTTGTAAATATTATTGATGACTTTTCAATCCGTCGATAATCATATCTATAAAGAATAATAATTAACAATTTAATTAAGAAGTGAACAATTATAGAACTCTCTAGAAGATACCGATATAATTAATTATTTGGTGATCCCATATAGAGTAACAACATGAACAGTGCAATTAAGAAACGAACATTTCTAAAGCTCTTTAAAATATAATAACAAAATTAATTTATTAGTGATATCCTTTATAATTAACACAATGAACAGTACTAGGTAGAAAGAAATAGTTTACCAAAAGGTTTACAGATGGATTTTATGGACAATATTAATATGTTAGAAATACTTTATGTATAAATGACATGTCATCATATCTTTTGGTTTTTTTTTAATTTTTTTTCTAATTGTAATTTTCTTGGTATATACTAAGATATTATTTTCATTGATGGTTGTTGATGAATATAGCAAGGAAATATTTTGTTTGGTAAATTTACTAATGAAAATATTTTATGCGTTTTTGTTTGTATTTATTAATTTTTTTGATGGCATTAATAACATTGGTTTTTTATCTTTTATAATCTACTAATGAAAATATTTTATGTGTTTTTGTTTGTATTTACTAATTTTTTGATAGCATTAATAACATTGGTTTTTTATCTTTTCACTATTTTTTACGGTGGTTATACTTATTTTAACCTATTTTATATTGTTAAGTAACATTTTTCTTTTACATAGCTAGATATTTATTTTTCTATTAATAATATTTGTCAATTCATGCATATTTATGGAACATCTCATTAAGAGACAAATGATCAACATGGAAATAGTAGACAACTAAAATTGTTTAATTGAAGAATGGAACTATCAAATGGAAAAAAAAATTATATAGAAAGATCCAACAATAAATTAGTAATTAAGAGACTAATGATCAACATGAAAATAGTGGATAACTAAAATTTTTTTATTGAAGAATGAAATTAAAAAAAACTATATAAAATTATCTAAAACAATAAAATTACAATTAAGAGACTAATGATCAATATGGAAATAATGGACAATGAAATTTTTTTATTCAAGGATGAAATTGAAAAGAAAATTAATTAAAAAACAATTAAAAGAATGAGGATGAAGATTGAAATAAATAATAAATTAGAGGTCAACTACAAATCTTTTATTGAAATGCAAAATTAAAATTTAAAATTAATTTAACAAAAGAAAATTTCAATTAACAATGATCAAAATTGAAACAAAAAATGGATTAGAGGATAATTATAAATTTTTTTATTAAATGATAAAATTAAAATGAGAAGTCAATTTAACAAAGGGATTAAAAAAATCAAAAGAATGAGGACCATATTGAAAAAATATCACAAAGTAGGATTGAAGGATGAAATTGAAATCTAATTAAAAATTTATAAAGGGATCAAAAACAAAAAATAAAAATAAAAAAAATAAAAACTTAAGATGATATTTCAATAAATAAAGGGAAAACTTTAAAATTTTGCATTACTAACAAGAATTTCAAGAGAGAAAAGGAGAAAAAAAATCATCATTAATGTTGCACCCCTATACCAACATCATCCCCAAAAAGAAAAATAAAAGTGTGACACTTTAACGATACAATAAAAAAGAGATTTTAATAGTTGAGAGATGTTGCATGCGCCACTCAAAGAAAACAGGTGTCCTCACATGCTAACAAGTGGATTATATATGATAATCACCTTTTATTTTATTTTATTTTATTTTATATTTATTCAAATGTCAAATGATCTTTAAATCAATTTAATAATAACAAAAATAAAAATAGCTAATCGATGTCAATTTTAAATCTCGAGTCATTTTACTATGCTTTAAAAATAAATAAATAAAATAAAATTATTCTTATTGAATTTAATAATAATTAATAGACTTTGTGAAAAAAAACTTACTATTCTTGATAACTAGTTTACATAATTTTTTTTATGAGAAAAAAAGACCATCATTATATTAAAAAATCCATTAATATACTGTTTCAGTAAATACTATAAAGTTTGGATGAGAAATATTTTTCAAAATGTTTTTAGCTTTTATTAATACTTGCCGTTCAATTTGAAAAATTAGGATTTCAAAATGTTTGAAATATGAAAATTAAGTTTCAAAGAAATTCCATTATATAAAAAGTACTATTATTTCAAAAAAAAAAAATTGAAATATAAAGTTTTGGTTTTATAAAGTATTCTTGAATCAATTAAGTAATGAACATTTTAACAACTAATGTTTTCTTAATAAATCAATAATATTAAGTCATTTTATGTTTATACTTACCTTAATATACATTTTTAATTTTATGTTAGAAAATCTTGAAAAACAAAAGAAGATTAAAAAATCCTAAATAAATTATTTAGAGGCACTTGGGAAATAATCATATTAAATCTCTTATTAGCTATTAATATATTAACCATCCATTTAGGTTGTTAAGTATCGTATGCGCCACTCAAAGAAAATAGATATTCTTATATGTTAATAAGTGCATTGTATATAATAATTACTTTTTATTTTATTTTATTATATTTTATATTTATTTAAATATCAAATAATGTTTAAGTTAATTTAATAATATCAAAAATAAAAATAGCTAAGCGATGCCAATTTTAAATCTTGAATTATTTTACTATGATTTAAAAATAAATAAATAAATAAAATAAAATTATTTTTATTATATTAACCATCCATTTAGGTTGTTAAGATTTTACGGAGTTGAGATCCACTCCGCTCCAATTATCGTATCCTATCTCCCACGTGTCAAATCCTCAACCCAATCGTTAAATAACACGATTACTCCGCACAAAATAATTTTAAGATACTTTATTATCCACTAATTTCTAAGAAATTACGAAAATATCTAAACAAATAGCCTCGTGTCCTTTCTATTCATCGACAAATACGTAAGGCATGATCGAACTCCAACTTTAGTTTTTGTTTTTTCTTCTTCCTGAAACAGAAAAAGTAAACAGCATTGTGATTCTGGTTCTTCCCAGAAAACGATGGCGTCATCGGAGATTGGGTTAATTTTGGAGAACTCGAAAGAGCTCGATCGGTTAAGGAAAGAGCAAGAGGATGTTCTTTTAGAGATTAACAAAATGCACAAGAAGCTTCAAGCTAGTTAAGTTTCTCTTCTGTTCTCCTTTTTTTTTATCATCAGTCTTATAGATTAACGGGTTTTTGTTAGATTATTGAAATTTTGATGCCAGGGAGAGTTCCTTTTTTTAGCTTGAATCATGTTAACATTGGATTATATTTTAGGTCATGCTTAATGGGTTTGTTTCCTTTTTTTTAGCTTGAATCATGTTGATATTGGGTTATATTTGAGGTTATGCTTAATGGGTTTGTTTTATACTGGTGAATTGCATGTAATGATAACTGGGTTTTTCTGAATTCGTAATCTAATCTATGTATGCTATGCAGTACGTAGGTTGCTTACTGATGCTCATTTGTTATGCATCCTGTTGCAAGATTTAGCGATGACTCATTGAATTAACTTGATGTTATGAGTAATTGAAGTTTAATACGGCTATGGCATGAGTTGATTGAAGTTAGTTTGTAGTAAATTGATGGCGTGGAGATGGTATTTACACGGGTTTTTTTATACTAGAAAATGAACGTGTCTCATGTCTAAGTAATTTGTAAAGCTTAAAAAGATTGAAAATGTTTGGTATCATTAGGAATTTTTTCTTAAATTTTGTGATCGCCAGCTGCTTGGGTAAAGAAAGTGGGGTGGGGGAAAGAGTCTTAACAAAATCCGTCATTTTATATGTTTCTTTGGAAAAAGGAAAATACATGCTTGCCTCATCATGTTGTTATATGTGCTTGTAATGCTTTATTTGGAGGTTATTATAGATTTGGATGGGATTTAATGCATCTCAGGTAACAAGCTTGTTATGCTGTGATCTTCATTTTTCCTACTCATCTTTTGCTTGTTCGTGTAAATAATAATAATAATAAAAAAGAATTATATATGAGCTGTTATTGAGTGATCTTTGTGTTAGCTCTACACAAAAGCATCTTTGTTAAAACTGTGCCTTACACCATGCTGTTGATGCAAGGCATAAAGTGTCAATACTACAACATTTCTTAAAGTGTAGGTAAGGTGCCTTAACTGGGCAAGCATGTATACCTCAAACATGTGCCATCAAATCGATGATATTTGTTGAATTTTTGTAGTTATGGCATAGCATGCTGAACCAATTAGTTTATTTATTTATTTTTCCTTGTATGATGTTTTGCTATTGTGCATTATCTTTCTTGTAAGAATTGTAGCACATTTTATTTGAAAGATACATGTCTTGCTCTAAACAACATGCTAAATAGACTTAATAAGTTATTAATTTTTCCAGCCTTTTTTCTTATTATGTTTTTATGAATCATTATCATGTAAACGATTTATTATATTTCAAAGCTGTGTTTTATTTCCTCAAGTTTACACCATGTCTTAAGCCTTCAACTTCCATCCTAGATCTGTTGTTGCTTAACTGCATATAGCACTTTCAACAACACAGTGCAGAAGCTAATGAATAAGAAAAGGTGGAACCTGTCTCTGGAAAACCAAGTCTTAAAGATTGGGTTTCTTCTCCAACTTGCAATTTATATACATATATATATATATATGTATGTATGTATGTATTATGTATGTATTATGTATGTATAATATACCATATACACTTCCAGTCATAAATAACGCATGCTGGTTTAAATTTCTACCTTTTAGAGAATCGTTTTAGTAAGCTCAGTAGCTATATTAAAGAATATCTAAGGAGAACTTTTTTTTTCCTGCTCATGATTCTATGTTAGATTTCTTGCAAATGTAATGTGGCAGATGATTCTTTTTGCAGTTTCATCCCCTTTGCATCCTCTGTATAGTTGTAAATGTGCATCCCATTAATTTCCTCTCGAAGTCTAGCTTGTCAAGCTTTTCCTCCCCCCTTTTTAATTCTTAGCAGATAGTGATTGAATCTATACAAAACTCTAGGATATAATTATTAATATTTTTTTTCCAGCTTCCGGATTTTTTTATTTAATACACATTGTTACCTATTACTTCTGGTTTATATTAATGAAAGATTTTACATGGAACAAATCATACAAAAAGTGCTTTCATATAGATGTGGCAAGTGATGGATGGTTTATATAAAAATAATTCGATTGGTTTGCCATGAACGAGAATAACCACAGCAATAACTAGAATAACTAGATTTAATTGTGTTTATATCATTCCTCTTCAACTGTTTTATTAACTTTGAATTTTTGCTTTCTAATGCAGCTCCTGAGGTGGTTGAGAAGCCTGGTGATACTTCGTTAGCAAAGCTCAAAACTTTATATACTCAGGCCAAAGACCTTTCAGAGATTGAAGTAAGGTACATGTATATAAATCTTTAGTAAAGTTAACCACTCTTCCTTCTGACTAAAGCTGAGTGTTTGTGCTTGCTCAATAAAATTCTTTCATAATGTGTAGCACATTAATGATATGCTGTAGTGGTTGGCTCCTAACACGTGTTAGTTTTGAATGTAATTGATAGTTTAGACCAACCATATTTTTTTCTCTCTGTGGATGCAGTGTTTCTGGTGCCCTGTTGACTCAATTGGATGCTCTGTTACCATCTGGACCTCCAGGTCAACAACGAAGAAGGATAGGTGTGTACTACATACTTTTGAGTTTGGCATATGAGATGTGCATATAGAAAGTATTCGTGTTTACTTTAATGTTGTAAGGAAGTTCTCATGTGTAAATTTCAGTGAAGGTCTATCATTACATGATGTATTAGGGACTCAAATTGTTCATTTATATTGGAGTGAAAGTAAACTCTGCAGTAGTATATGCATACATGTATGAACATAAGGAGGTTGGTACGGGCTACGTGCAATTCCAAAAATTGGAAATCAGTGTTCAAGCTGCTATATATCAAGTACCTCAGGAATATATTGAGTATCTCTTGTAACTTGAATGAGCATATAGCTATTTCACTGCCAAGGAACCACCTCACACCCTCAAGGATGAAGTTCTTTTGGAAGACATCCCTTGTCTCAAGACATTAATTCATTTATAGAAGCTTTGAATATTATTAACTACTGTCCTTGGTGCATTTGTTGTCCAATGGCCTGGCTACAAAACCAGTTGTCTCAATCTAAGAACATTCTTTCTGAAGATAACTTTAGGTCTCTGGTACTGTGCAAAAGATTTTACCAGCTAACTACCTGGGACTTTCAATAACTAGAGATTGACATGCTCATTGGTTATGATATATTGCACCAAGTGAGCATGAGACAAGACCTTATACAACTAAATAGATACTAAACATGGGATAGCATTTAGACTTGCGAACATTGATGGCTGGACTTTAGAATACATGACTTATGCCTAGGAAAATGAATTTCATTTTCTCTATCTTGATTTTAGTTAGATGCTGCTACTGTTATTTGAGAAACTCCATATATCATGAGAAAATGTAAAATAAATTGCAGAAGGTAATGATCAGAAAAGGAAAAGAATCAAAGCCGATTCAGATATCTCAAGGCTCTCTCCTGCAGTAAGAAGTCAACTTGAAGCATGTGCTAGTCTAAAGGGTGAACAGGTTTGCATGTCTTTTTAAAGAACATAATATATTTATATCCCCTTTTCTTTCTTTCATTCTTTGTTTTTTTTTTTCCTTTTTTTAATTATTTTGCAAGTAGAGTTCCATTTCATTCCCCTTTTTTAACTATTTTGCAAGTAGAGTTCCATTTCATTCTGTTTCGCAGAAGTGATTGACATGTTGCTATATTCAGGTAGCAGCTAGGGTCACAGGTGATAATGCTGAAAAGGATGAGTGGTTTGTTGTAAAAGTGATTCATTTTGATAGGGAAACAAAAGAGTAAGTTGAGCTGTTGTACATGAGATTCTTCAATAATTACCTTGCCTAATAGTTGGATTGCAAATGATGTGTTTTGTTGACTATTATAATTTGGTGCACCATATTATTAATTCATTTTTAATGGTAATTTTATAGATGTGAATGCATAGGTATTTCTTTGAGGTTAGGTTAGCTACCTTGCCTATTATTTAAGAATTTTGTCATGTATATGGACTATATTTTGATTGCACCTCCAACCACTATGAAGCACGTATACTTAAAAATCTCTGATCTATTCCTATCATGCCATATCCGATACCATACTTGACCCAATACTTTATGATATGTATGGAATACTTCTCAAACATGTCCAAAATTAACAAGTAAGAATATTATTTTGGATACTTGAGGACACAGAAAATAATATTTTGAGAAGATTGTAGTTTATAATTTTATAATATCAATCAAAGCTTACATGGATAATAATTGGTGAATATTGTTGAAGAAAATAAAAAATATGACTGTACATTCTTGTTATAGTTGTTTTCACACTAATATGAGCGCATTAATAAAATATGCATTTTTATTTGCTTTTTTCGTAAAAAGAATGGTTATAGCTTACATCTTCTAAAAAATAATAGAGTAAATGGGAATAAATATTAAAATTTATCTGTAACATATCATATCCTAAGATTTTAAGAATTGACATCACGTTTCTATACCGTGTCTTGCTCGTTTCTTGTATCCCTATCCGTGCCTCGTCACCCTGAACTATTTGGAGTCTGTTACATGTATGCTTTTTCCTCATTTTTTTGTTTTCTATTTTGAGCCCAAAACTCTCACAAGTTACATGTATGCTTAATCCTGAACTAATACGAGCACATTAATAAAATATGCATTTTTATTTGCTTTTTTCTTAAAAAAATGGCTATAGCTTATGTCTTCTAAAAAAGAATAGAGTAAATGGGAATAAATATTAAAATTTATCTATAACATATCATATCCTAAGATTTCAAGAATTGACATATCACGTTTCTATGCTGTGTCTTGCCTGTTTCCTGTATCCCTATCCGTGCCTCGTCAACCTGAACTATTTGGAGTCAGTTACATGTATGCTTTTTCCTCTTTTTTTTTTTCTATTTTGAGCCAAAAACTCTCACAAGTTATTGTGATGCTAAATCAGGTTAAATATATTATACATGCCTTCTATTTTCAAATAAATGCTAAATGGACATAATCTTAAAAGAAAATGCCACTCCACTAGCTCATTTATTTCAATATGTAAATCTTCTGGTACTCTGTCCATAATTAGTAACTTTATGTGCAGATTTGAAGTACTTGATGAGGAGCCAGGAGATGATGAAGAGAGTGGTGGCCAAAGGTTGATTTGTCTTTTGATACACCCTTATTATCAGCAACTGAATTTCTTATTCGCAGTATTTCTTTCCCAGAGATTGTACATTAGTATCTTGTGATTTGTCCTGTGAAATGCCTAAACCAAGTATGCTGGTTTACTCACATGAATGGGTTTTTTCTTTTGACACTTGCTTCAGAAAGTACAAGCTGCCCATGTCATGTATTATACCTTTCCCCAAGCGAAATGATCCTTCTGGTGCCCCTGATTTTCCTCCTGGGAGACATGTTTTGGCTGTCTATCCAGGGACAACAGCACTTTATAAGGCAACTGTTGTGAGCCCCCTTCGGAAGGTAACTATTCCATCCACCTAGCTAGATAGATTTGAATCCAAACTAAAGTAACTGCAATTTTCCTTGGGAATCCTGCTGTTCAGTAGTTTTTTTTCCCAGTTTTGAATATCCTGGTGACTGACTTTGGACTGACAATTAATTGTATTGTGCATGCTGTGGGATGCCATCATTCTGTTGTTTTTCAGAGGAAGATAGATGAGTAAGTACTATCTTTCTCATGTTCTATCCTTAGTTTGCTGATTTTGGAAATTTTCCAGTATTGTTCTGGTGTTTACTTTATGTTACACTATAATGATGGCAATATTCCATGCCCTTCTCCCTGCTTTCCTTTTCTTCGTTTCTTTGCAGATGGTTTTCTTTATTCTTTTTCTTCATTTTTTTTTTGTTAGATAGATGAACACAATGATTATTCCAAAGATTTTCGTAATTGTTTTATCCAAAGAATCTCCAAGATGGTAAATTATATATATAATAAAATAGGAGGGTAATCTGGTACTCTATCTTCACATATTTAAGAAACAAAACTTCTGCTGATTGTAAATGGTTTGCCCTTAGAAGTACAGTCTGGAACAAGATATGTTATGCATGTGGTTTCTAAATGCTATGCCCTTCGTATTTATGTTATTTTTATCATGCTCTGATAGCTGCTATTGTTTTGGTTGGACAGTTATTTGCTGGAGTTTGATGACGATGAAGAAGATGGAGCCTTGCCTCAGAGGATCGTTCCCTTCTATAAGGTGGTTCCCTTACCAGAAGGGCATCGTCAATGAGTCCTTGTTCATAGTTGTGTGTAAATAAAGCTCCTGTGTAGCAGCGTAATACAGACCATGCATCTTGAATCCTCTTACCTCCCTTCTTTCTTTGACCGGAAGGGGCAATGCCTTGAAAAGAGACGTACCATATTTATATGTTTGGTTGTGTAGTGAAGTGGCTTTTCCTTACAGCGTTCTCTGTTTTTGGTCGTGAACTCGTCATTGATGCAACAGAACATTTAGATTTTAGGGAACCCAAGATTGCTCCATGAAGGTTTAAAAGTGAATAATTATTGAGCGCCATTGGCTAAATGCAGTTCCGAATCTGGTCCGATCTACGGCTGGTAATGCTAAATTTGCCTTGAGACGGTGTTGGCTGTGGATGAATCCAATTTGTTTTATTTTTCCTTAATAAATACAATGAGAGTTGAAAGGCAGTGCAGAGGGGCCTAGCTCACTGGGCAACCAAGAAGAGTCATGAAAGATTTGAAACCAGGGGATTACAAGCTAAACTCCAGCCTTGTCGAAATAGAAAGTAATTAAACATAATCAAGCTTTCAATATCACCATAAAGCATTCACTCTAGAGTCTAGTCCATAATCGAACAAGTCATCCATGAGAAGAAAATTAATGAAGTACGAAAACATTTGTTTATTGCCCGTTGTTCATCTGTTCTCTCTAGTTGAGATACAAGTTCTCCAGGTCTTGATCGACTTTTCTCACCGACACTGGCAACCTTACCCTTGCACCTTAGGTTTTGACAACAAGCTACTCTATTAATGGCACTTTCAACACTAAGACCCCCATGTTTTGACTATTGCTTGCTACACTCACATCCGACGACATGCCTGGGCAACGGGAATTGGCGGGTCTGTCAGAGAACCATTCTGTGTATGATCAGCAACCCATTGGTTTGCAGCCTGAGAATAGTGAACGCCATCCCAGCTTATGAAGACTGATGGATCTTT